TTTAGTTTACAACTTCAAATCCGAAAAAAAAAAGAATTAACAAGCGCATTACATTATTCTCCGGATCTTCGACTATATGTTGAGATATTTCCGCCAATTGTTCCTTCTTTTGATTAATATATTCTTTAAGTAGAATATTTATGCTTAATATAGGTTCTGAGTTATGTGACTTTTTATCATTAGTATCAAGGTCGTTCGGTTCGTCAATGTCGTTAGGGAATGAGAGGCCGACAGTAGAACTGTGTTGCTTAAAACTATATTTGATTTTAAACTTTAAACTTTACATGACCGTATTAATAATTAGTAAGCTCAGTAATACGAAAAATGTAGTTTATTCCAGAAGAAATTGACCTAACGGTCATTCGATGAAGAAAATCATGCGATGTTTTATAAGCTTTTTTCTTTATTATTTTATTTTTAAAAATAACACAGAAATAAAAATATTTATAGAGACTATCCTTTTATGGAAATGTAAGGGATGATGTTATATGAGAATTCCTAAAAAAGTTCGTTCGATAATTATACATGTAAAAAAATGGCTCGAGTTTCGTTGGTCTGGTCTAATTTTCTATCTGAGAAAAATGATTGAATGATCGGATATTTGAGATTTTCTTTCTTCTATGATCGGTAGCACGAGAACGAAAACGTTTGTATAATTCTTTATCATTATCATGTTCGCTCATTCAGAAACTGTCAGAAATTATCAGAAATGGTCAGCGCCGAAATGATCAGATCATGAGCCAGCTTTAAAAAAACCGATTTTTTTGGGAAGAAAGAAGCTTAAATAAGAAGGCAGTTACTACAATTCTTCCGCTTCCAAATGCAAATGATCATCAACATTACAGTCAGAAAAAATTGACAATTTTTTTTTTTTACAGTTATTTTTTTTTTTTTTTTTTTTATATACTACTATTTTATAACTCTTGTCCGTTTTTTCAATAGCCAGTAATTACGAAATTTAGAAGAACACAAAAAGCGGAAATTAATTATTAAATTAGTAGTATGAAAAAAAAAGTACTTCAATGATAAGAGTAAAAATCAGGAATAATGAAACTAGACTAAATTAAACAATACAGATAATGCGCCATCCAGATAAGATCCCAAATCAACAGAAATTTAAACTAACTAATAATAGATAATTTTTTTATGATCTAAAACCTTTATTTTTTTTTCTTCTCGAACTAAAAATTTCTTTTTCAAACTAAAAAAATAACAAAAAAAGTATCGTCTTTGTTATTTATAAGCTATAAAAAAAGGATAGGATGAAAAGAAAAAAAAAAAAACAATGACCTCTATATTTGCCGCCATTTTTCTTATTGAAACAGCTTCTGGCAATGTAACACTAACAGGAATGGCTACGATGAAGATGAATTTGTAAGCTACAACTACAAAGCATTCAATTTCGCTATCATATGATTAATCAAATTGAGAAACAAAATTATGCTAATTATTGGTAAATTCATCCTAGAAATTCCAAACTTAACGTAAATATGTCTATTATTTTTTAAATAATTATTAAAAAAAAATTCTTTTCTAAATTTATTTTTTTTTTTAATTCAAAAAAAAAATTAATAAACTAAAAAAAAAAAAATGAAAAAAGGTCCCTAATTCTCGATGAAGAACAATATGTAACTTATAATAACTTATGTAACTCCTAGAGTACCGAACGAGAAAACAAACATCCATACTTTTTTATGACTGGATCAGCAGGAACCGGAAAGTCATTCATGATACGTATCATCAAAAATATTAAACATATATTATAATCTTCAACTGGAGTATCCGCCCAAACATAGACGGAAAAACCATCCACTCTGCTCTCAAAACTAGACACAATATAACAATCATTATCAAACACTAATATTAGATGATAAAAAAAAAAATAGAGCTGCTAAAATAAAAGCAATTATAATTGAAAAAACATCCAGACTTTTATAACCTACTCCAAGAGTTGAGATTAGGACAACTCTCCGAAAAATCAAAATCAATAATAAACAAAAAAATCTCTGAATCAACCAACCTACCATCAAGTAATAAAAACCCAGAAGTCTTCATATCAAAACCTCAACAACCAGATAATTGATAATGAAAATGACAAACTTCATTTCAAAAATCATACCAACCTACCAAATTCTATAACAATACAAGAAGGTGCGCGAATGATGTACTTGAACAATAAACTCTTCGAACCTGGAATATGAAATGGAAGCATCGGAGTAGTAACAAAATTCACAGACAACAAAAATATAGAGATTAACTTTCCTAAGACAGATAATAACCAAAATCAACGTACAAAAAATGACATCATACTTCAACATCAATGGTATTCCAGCAGCCGATTCCCAATCCAGAATGCCTTTGCATCAAAAGACACTGCCTCACACCACCTAACGATCGATCAAGTATACAACTCGTGGAACTCTGTAAGAATGCTCTTATTCGATTTTGACGCCCTTAAAACTGACGAAGAAGTTCTCACAGAATACAGAAGGCTAAGGCACATAAACCAAAAAGGTTTAACGAAATTCCGGACCAACCACTAAGTAAAAGACCCGATAAAATACATCCGAACATCCGAGAGACCACGATATATCATAACTTCCGATCAGGGCTCCCCCGCGCGTATTCGGAGCGAAAAAGGCTTGTTAAGTTTTAATAAACGAGATCTCATCATAAGTAAGGCAGCACCCTGGTACAATTAAGTTTAGTTTTAATGTTAATTCTAAAAAAGCGTTTAAGTTTATAAAAACTTTATTTTAATGTATAATATCCGAGTAATTCGGATACAGAATATATGATAAAATGCTAACCGAATTCTGAAATTTGACGGGTCGCAGCTTTAAATCATCAATGGTACAAGGTCATAATTAATGAATAAGATTAATGCAATAATATTTCGCTTCGAATACAAGTAAAAAAAAGATTTAATACATCATTATATTATAAAATTATGCTTGATACTAGCTGTCAGAGTCAAAGCTTCGACTCTGCAAAAGCTACGTAGAGTATAGCTCAATTTATACAATGATACAGCAATAAAACTTCGCTAATTCGCTATATAGGGATTAATTCTAGTTAAAAATATAATTTTAATCAAAGTTCTATTAAAAGTTCGTATATCAGTATAAATAATTTTGCAAAATTTATTAAGTTTGATAATAATAAAAATTATGGTCGTTAATTTCAAATGTTTGCTAATTATGCTATAATTAATTAATTTATATACAAATCTTGAAATGTTATATTTTTATTATCTCTCGTCATTAAATTTTTAGTATTATCATCATAAGAATGAATGATTTACAATTAGTACAAATAATTTTTTTAGACATAATATCTCACTGCGTATAATTTACAATGTCTTTAAATTTTGCTGTGGTAAAATATTTTTTGGTCATATTATTCCTATGAAATGGATTTAAATGTTTAACAATAAAACAGAACCTATCTATACAAACGTGAACTAAAATACTAACTATATACTATTGCGGGGGCTAATAAGAATAGCCTCATTTATCCAATTAAACAATCTCCTTTCCTAAACCATGTAAAATATGTTCTGCTTTCACTTTCTCGCTTTCCCCATTCATATTATGATAATTTCGATTTCTCTGTTGAAAAGTGACACGGGAAATGACAAAATGTTTATATCTTCTTATATCCTTCAAAAAATATTTATTCTGTGATGGTTCCTTTGATGTATACGAAACTAAACCCGACAAAGCCAGACAAATAAAAAGTATCAAATCTAGAAATTCGTTACGCTTCGTTTTAAGCCAACTTTGAGGTTTAGGGTTCTGTTCAGGTACGGGGTTTTGGTTAGGGTTTTGTTTATTCCTAGGGTCAGGGTTATTCCTAAATTCTTGAAAGCATAGAAAATCCTCTAACAACCAACAGTTTATTACACCAAAAAACCCAACAAAACAAAGAATTCCATCCAAAATGAACGATGTAACAGGTCCATTAAAATTAAAATCAAGAATAATAATTATAATTAAAATTATTGAACAAAAAAAAGCCCACAAAGAACGATAAAACCTCAATTTTTCTAATTTATTATTCCGAGATTCGATAAGGTCTCTCAACTCTTTCAAGTCATTATCATCAGGACCATTGTCTATCGCGAGGTTAACTATATTTAAATCAATATTTGAGATAGTAATTTCCTTTGTACGAGCTGAACTTAAAGTTTCCGAAATAGTTTTCATACTTGTTAAAAGACTAGCAAAAGTACCAACTCCAGCTATGGAATTCCTTACAATTCTTGGAACTTTCTGTGAGTCTTGAAAATGTGCATTTACATAAACAAAAACTACTCCAAGTATAAATGTAATGGAGTAGAAAACAGTAAATATAGTCATGCTTCGTTTGACGTCTTCTGTAAAAGTGTAACTATTCTCAATAACTCTCTTTAGCCCTTCCAAAAGTAGTCTCTTATCCATAGTTGCTTTTGTCCATTTTTCGTCGTCCGTGGTATTTGTGTTTGGATTCGCCATTTTCTGAGGATAATTTAATTTTTCTTTTTTATTTTTCTTTTTTTTTTCCCCTCCATTCTCGTGGATTATTAAATAAAATTTTAAAGCAATAAAAACCAAATGAAATCCCGTTTTTGGACGTGTAGGTAAAACATGTCGATCAGATGCTTAAAGAACGTCTGCATTAACCAATTTATACATCTGAATAAAAAATTATGCAAAACGTTTTTTTTGTCGATTTCACAATTAATTATTTCTGAAAGGTCTTTCAACAAATTTCCTTCTTTTTATTAAACACTTTCCATTTCTAGGGTATCATTTATCTAAATATTCTTGTGTGCTTCATTGGTATAAAAGTTCGTCCTTTTAAGAAATTGTTCGATTGTCAATAATTTTCCAAAATACAATGAAACACCTTGCATTAAAGCCGATTCATTTTTAAATGATAAAATTCATCTTTATGCGAACATAAATGGAAATATATCGGTTAAGAAGTAATAAACCCAAAACTTAATGAATAATTGTTTCAGAATCTATTGTAATTAATAGCTTGACGCATCTTTTAAATTGCATAACCTGAAATTGAACTTAAATATGAAAATACATAAATGTAATGACGAAAAGGTATTGTCATACATCAGTAACGAATGTTTTCGATGTAATTGAATAATCTATCTATTCATAACATTATCAAAAGTTTGATATAGAACAACAAATAACCGCAATTTATTCAAGTAAACTTTTAACTTGCATGATAAAATTCACAATGAGAAGGTTTTAGAATTAGGTAAATACATAAATTATTATTGTGCTGCTTAAAATTAATATTCATTCGACACGTTAACTAACTGGTAAGAAAATAAATACTTTTAGAACGATACGAAGAGAAATTTGTCAAATACGATCTGCGTCGTGGAGCTGCGACTCGTTACCCATTTTCTCGAATACAACATGTGTATACCCGGATAATTATATTATAAGTATCTGGGTCATAGAATTACAAATGGGTAATATACGGTTTGTTTCAGTTTTATATTTATCCCTTAAGATCATCACATCATTTTGTCAGAAATGATGATATAAGCTTATTAATTTAGTCGATCATTCAAATTAAGCTAAACAAGTTGGCGTTTCGGAGTATCGGAATTCCCGTTTTTTTTTTTTTTCGTCAATTTTAAAATCTTTTTTATTTTTTTATAATGGAAACTTTACAAGAACATGAATACGATTTGTATATTGCTGAATTTGCACGAAATGTTTCATTACCAGATGATACTTATGATGACAATGTAGAGGATATTACAATAACTCATAAATAATATTAAAAAAAAAAAAAGTGATGTAAAATTTTAGTCATAAGGATTTCAGATTACAATTATCATGCGATTTAATTAAAGCAGGATTGGAAGAAAAAAAAAGCAACCAAAAACAAATAATTTAAATTTATTCAAGTTGATCCTTAAAAAAAAAAAGACATCAATATGTTACATCAAATTTTGAACTTCCTTTAGAGAGATTATCACCGGGTGGTCATTTTCCTGAATGGAGTGAGGCAAGAAGTAGTTGTATATGGTGTACATATTTAACAAAAAAAGCTCAAAAAAAAAGCAGAAAGAGATGTAATCAAATTTCGCAATTTAAAAATCATTTATTTTACAAAATTTACTTTGCACTTTTTTTTATGAATTTTACAAAATTATTGTATTTTTTTGAGCTCTATGTAAAGTTATAAATCTAATATTTAAATTTAAAGACTAATAAATAAAAGTTAATTATTAAGATATTGTATTAAGGTTGATATGGTTACCCAATTAGACCGCTAAATCTAAAGGCACGTTATTTTCAATTTTTCGATGTGATTGGTAAATAATGATCATCAAGTCATCAAGTGATATACACTCCTGAAGTATCCGGGCACGGTTTTTTGCGAATTGTAGCTTAATTATATTATGTTTTTAAATAAATTGTTATATAATTATAAAGTGCATGTTCCCGTAAATTTATTGGCTACATTTTATTATTGTTTTGAATTAATTTATATAACGCGTTTATAAAAAAAATGAATTTGATTCTTTAACAATATTGCTTTGCCGATCATTTTTACCGTTCTTATTATAATTAAATTAAAAATTTTTTTAACATGGCAAAAAGCAAAGAAT